TCTCAAATGTTCTCAAGATTAAGACAGTATAAATGGTAGAGGTAGCACTAAAAGCTATATCATATGTCCCATTTAAGATAAAAAAAGTTTGCTCTAAATTGTATTATTTCAGGGTATGGTTTTGCAAACTTTATTGTCAGAGTATGAGATGAGCAGTGTTTCAAGATAAAAGAAAATATAAGGATTGGATCACAGTTTAGGATGGTATTTATAGTCTGTAAATTGAGTTTGTTTTCCAATATTATGTGAAATCAGAATCCATTTTAGGTAGAAATTCATGTTCTTTCTTGTGTGAGCAAAGAGGGTCTTTTAATTTGGTTGCCATCATTTCCTTTCTCTGCATTATTTGAAAAGGAGAAATATGTGATGTATTTGAATGATATCTAAAAATAAGTGAGGGGGAATTAAATTAGATGGAATATTGCTGGAATGTGTATATGCATACCCTTTTTCATCATTAAGATCTAAGATTAATATTAATATTTGTCATATATATCTTAACTTCAACTAACATATTTCACTACAGATAATCACATATATTTATGGTGATTTAAATCCTTTAGGTACCTTTCATTTTACTGTAGGCTATAGTTCCTTTAATTGATCTGCCAAAACAGAAGTAGGGTGCCCTTTTCTCCAGCCTTTAATAGCAATTTTTTCACTGCCCTCCAGCCTCCACTAACAGGTCTGGGAGGTCCCTTTAAGGCCATTGTCTGCTGCCTCATTTTAAAAATAGCAGATGTTTTAGGTTTTTGTTAAAGCAGCACTCCACTTCCAGGTAACAATTTCTGTTTTGCTTTTCTATTGCTGTGTAACGGACCACTACAAAGCTTAGTGGTTTACAAAAAAGCAACAGTCATTTATTCTGAGTCTTCCATCAGGATTGGTGGTTTTCCCTTTTGCTCCTAACCACCATTCATCAAGTCTGACTTGCCACAGAAGTTTATGTTATATGAGGGTGAGAAATAGCTGATTCCAAAACGGGGGCACGGAAGTTGCAAGATAAGACTGGAACATCTTGTTGTGCCAGAATATAAGGAAATGCTAAAAAAGAAAATGAAGATGCTATATCAAAAAGATACAGGAGCTAACCTAAAATTGAAAGGGGAATATCATTTATTAAAAACATTTTAGAGGAGAGAACCAAGATGGCGGCATAAGGTATAGACCTGTGCGTGCTGCCTCCCACAACAACCTTGAAACCACCAACTATAAGACAAACAGCTATCATTCAGAACCATGGGAAAGCTGACCCAGTGGAAGTTCTACAACTGGAAGGAAAGAAAGAAGAGCATTGAGACTGAGTAGGATGTACAGAGGTGCCACGAACAGAGGTACGGAGTCGCACGCCAGGTGGGCTGCAACTGGATGCGCGGTTTTTTTCGATCGCAAGGGGTTACAAACTCTCGAATCCACTGAGCTTGTTTGGGGCGGGATTCTGAGGTCCCAGACCCCTATGGGGAGAGGCAGGGCGGCCTTGCAGTGGGTCGGAGAGCAAGGGTGGCTTTCTCGCGGAGCTGCTCGCCGGCACTTGGGGATGCGGAGACGTGGAGTCGTGGAGAGGCAAGGAGTCGCGGAGACGCCTTTGCTGTTTGCTCTGACCTGGTGATTCCCAGAGACCCCGCCCTACTCAATTTACATCCATGCCCAAGCTATGCCAGTGGCTCAAAAGGAACCACCTGCGCTTTTGCAGCCTAACCCAACAAATTGCAAATTTCAACTCCTCGCATCCATAAGGGTCACACTCAAGAAGCAGAATCAGGTTTGGAGGAAGCCGGAGCTGGACCCGGCTGGGCCGGCGACATGAAACCGCTGTACCAGCAAACGCACAAGCAGATCCACCAGATCCAATCTCACATGGGACGCCGGGAGACGGCAGACAAGCAGTCTGTGCACTTAGTAGAAAACGAAATCCAAGCAAGCATACCAGATATTCAACTAGCAAGAACGCCTGGAGATTTTGTCCAGCAAGGAGCCGCCCAACAAAAGACAGAATGCCAAACTTCATGTTGACCAGTTAAAGTATGATGTCCAGCACCTTTAGACTGCTCTCAGAAACTTCCAGCATTGATGATACACAAGGGAGCAGCAGGAGAGACAGCGAGAGGAGCTTCTGACTCGCACCTTCGCCCCCAATGTGGGATGCGGTGCCCCCTGCAAGACTGCGACAGCCCCTGTGAGGCTGCGATGGCCCCTGCGAGGCTGCAATGGCCCCTGGGAAGCCGGCAGAACTGCGCGAGCCACCCGGACGGCTTCGTCAACGGCCTGCAAACCAGAGCGCAGCCCCAAGCACAACTATCACCCAAAGGGCGAGAGGGGCGAGAGCAGCTGTAGTGTTGCTTTCTCCTCACTTTTGGTAGCGAAATCCTCATTTTAAACATAAGAGGACACATTATTTTAAAAAGCCGTTACGTGTCTCCGTACCCTTTCTGAGTAGAGCGTGAACAAGTCGCGAGAGACCTTTCCAAACACAGGGACACGTCGTGGATGGAAATAGCTACATTTTCCATGTGTATGACCTTTGACCCAGTGACAAAAAGCGTACACCTATGGATAAGGACAGTGGGGGGTAAGGGCAGAGGGTGGGGTGGGAACTGGATGGAGGGGAGCTATGGGGGTAAAAAAGGGGAACAACTGTAATAATCTGAACAATAAAGATTAAAAAAAAAAACAAACAAAAAAAAAAACATTTTATACTTCTGAATGGAAAACAAGTTCAATGTCATTGTTTTATATTCTATCAAGACTGTTTCCCGCCAAAACCGGTTTGGCTCAGTGGATGGAGCATTGGCCTGCGGACTGAAGGGTCCCAGGTTCGATTCCGGGCAGGGGCATGTGCCTGGGTTGCGGGCACGTCCCCAGTGGGGAGTGTGCAGGAAGCAGCTGGTCGATGTTTCTCTCTCATCGATGTTTCTGGCTCTCTATCTCTCTCCTTTCCTCTCTGTAAAAACTCAATAAAATATATTAAAAAAAAAAAAAAAAAAAAGACTGTTTCCCAACTACATTTAGTAACTATCACTTCAGAGTAAAGCCAGCTCTGGGGCTCACAGGCTAGTGGGACCTGTTAGAGGGTATGTGAGTCTGGGATCCAGATGAAAACAGGAGGTAAAACTAATGGGGCAATAATCAAAACTTGAGTCCTTAGAAAGAGTTGTATCTGGGGAAATGGTGGTGGTGGTGGAGCGGGGGAGGGATTGTTCCAGACCTTGTAGAAGTTGCTTCCATTGTTTTGGTGTTAATTCTAGCAGCTTGAGCTTCAAGTATGAGGCAAGGTATGAATTGGCAACGTAAAATAATTCACTTAAAGGAACTCCAGCAGCCAGAGAGAGGATTAACAAAGATTATATCTAGAACAAGTGACTTCAGTGAAATAGAACTATTGGAAGAGATAGATGACAACTTTAACAAGCAAAACAAATTATCCTGAGATTCTCAAGAGAGACAAAGCTATGTTTCTAATCATAGCATAAAAGAATTAAAAAGTGAGGGGAAAACTCTTCTATATATTAATTTGTGGGGAGGATGATTATTGTTGATACTCAAATTCATGGTCTGGGACACTAATTAGAGTATATCAAAACAGAAAAAAAATATAACTGAGAAAGAGCACATTGGGGAGATGCAATAACTAAAGGTATAATTGAGGAGAATTTCCCTGGTTTAAAGAAGGATTGAAAGAACCTACTGAGTTCCAGACTAGAAGGTTGGGGGTGGTTCAGAGACAAAAACACACACAAAACAAGCCGCTTACACAGGCAAAATGATCAGATAGATATGTGCTGGACTACTCAGTGTGACACTGGAGACTAGAAGGTAGTAAAATAACATCTACAGATTCTAAGAATACCTATTCCTAGACAAAATATAATTCACTTGTTATGGTGAAAGCAAGATATTTGCAGATATGTAGGAATTCAGTCCTCTGTTAGATAGAGGAAAGTTCTCAGTAAAGAGTTCTTACCAAATAATTCTAACAGAGACTTTAAGATGGTGCAGGAGAAGAAAAAACAGTGGTGAGCAAATTAATCTCACAGTCTATTTTATTAAATCTAAATGGGTAGTGGTAGAGAGACTGTATTTCCGCACATTCCTTTGTCCTCTGCATTTCCTGAAAATTTGCAGCTGATCCAGAAGCTTGATTAGATTTGGTTCTTGTCTCTGTGTCAAGACTAAAAGTGATATTCTGTTCTTTTAGTGGGAGGCATATAATTTCTGATTATCTATAAAGAATTTATTGAGCTGGGAAATTGGTGATATTCTATCATTTTTCATTTATAACTAAAACACATTATAAATGAAACATTTGGTTACTCAGTTCATACAGAAAAGGCAAGATAAATGTTTAATTTTCCTCTTTGTCAGTATGCAAGATAATGAATTGGTTCTCTATTACCTTCTGGAGGTGGAGGAGAATATCTCATTATCAGCTTGTATAATTCAATATGTAGGCTAGCTTTCAATCTGTTACAATTATTATCTTTATTGAAGCTCAAATTGTTTGGCAAGTGGGAGCAAAGATGGTCCCTGAGTGCTTTGACATGACCCTGTATATCTTTGACTGGTAAAGAAAGAAACAGTATTTTTTTGCTTGGTTTTGTTTTGCTTTGCTTTGCTTTGCTAATAAACCTCAGAATGTTGCTGTTCTTTTGCAAAGGTGGATTTTAGGGATCCATTCGTTTCCTTGGATATTGGGTAGTTAGTATGATCTTTTATGTTATTTGTTGGCAGATATGCCTTAGACTTTGTGTTACTTGCAAAGAATACTGGTTTTATTTTTTAGTATATGTGGAGTCTCAAGAAGAATCAGCATTTCCCAGCAACAGGTGTGGAAACATAAATTAAAATGGTTTATTCAATTAATAAAAATTTGAATATTTATTTTGGATCAATCTCCACAGTATGAACTCTTTGTAATCCAGACATTCACAAAAATGCCTATTTAACATTTCAGTAAATAAGTTCCAAGGATTGATTTTTAAACTTGATTTTTTTTCTTTCAGATCTGTCACGAAATCGCCTCTCAGAAATTCCCATAGAAACATGTCATTTTGTTTCTCTTGAAAATCTCAACTTATACCAAAATTGTATTCGGTATATACCAGAGGCAATTCTAAACCTACAAGCTCTAACATTCTTAAATATTAGGTAAGATGTTTCTTTTTTAAATATTTGATTTTATGTGATATTTTCAATTTTCTGCTCCTTTTTACTAAAGTTTACATTATCTTTTCATATCAGCAGTTTCTATACATGTTCTTAGGCTAAATTAACAGTATTTCCTATGTCCCTCTAGTTTCTCCCTCTGTCTTTGCAATAATTGACAAACTCTAATAGTCATTAACCTAATAGGCTTGCAGTGGTTCTCCAAATACTTCGTTTGGTTCTTGTGATTATATATTTTTATGTATTCGGTTCTGAATGTATAATTGCATTTCAACTCATGTACTCCATTTTTTTCACATCTTATAGAATTCTTTTGTTATTTTATTATTATAAGTTTTATTGGAGAAAATGAGCAAATGAAATATCCTTTGGAAATATTTTTATATGTAATCATTTTATTATACAGTTTACATATTTCTTTCTTTTTTTTTTTTTTAAATATATTTTATTGATTTTTTACAGAGAGGAAGGGAGAGAGATAGAGAGTTAGAAACATCTATGAGAGAGAAACATCGATCAGCTGCCTCCTGCACATCTCCCACTGGGGATGCGCCCGCAACCCAGGCACATGCCCCCGACCGGAATCGAACCTGGGACCCTTCAGTCCGCAAGCCGACGCTCTATCCACTGAGCCAAACCGGTTTCGGCTACAGTTTACATATTTCTAAAACTCATTTTGCCTCTTCGTATATAATGGAATGATTATGAGGGAAATATACCCTACTTTTCAGTCATTTTTTTTTTCTTAATATAAATTAACTTCAAGAAAATAATATATTGTACTATATAGCACTTTATTATTTACAAAGGTGTTTTATGGTACAAGGTAGAGAAGTTAGGATTCTCAATTTACAAATGAATCTATATAAGATGCAGATAGGTTAAATGCTATGCCTAAAAATTACAAAGCTCACAAGTGAGGAAATGTAGGCTAGGACTCAAATCTTAAATTCTATTTGTTCCTTGCAAGACTTACATTTGTTATTTTACTGTGTATAGAGTGGGAAAGATGGAAATTTTTTTCTTGAGTAATGGGCTCTGAATCTTCTTTTTTTCTACTTACCCATTTTAGTCGGAACCAACTGTCAACACTGCCAGTACATTTGTGTAATTTACCATTGAAAGTCTTAATTGCTAGTAATAACAAATTGGTCTCACTTCCAGAAGAAATTGGACATCTCAGACATTTAACAGAACTTGTAAGTTAATATTTTATTTTTTTATTGTTCCATATATATACATACACACACACACATACACATACATATATATATATCCCCATAGTTATACCCTATTCTTTCATATGGTAAAGATCCATTATTGCGGTTTATTTTTTAGTTATTTTCAAGTATTGATAATGAAATCTCACTGATTGATCAGTACTCAAGGGCTTCAGTACAGAATTAAGAAGGAACTGAAAGTACAAGTCTGACAGGCTCACATGGAATGGGGAAAGGTCATTAAGTTAGGTTCTAATCAATATTAAGTGATTTCTGTTATTAAACTTTTGAGGTATAAGTTAATTCATTTGAACTTTTCAAATTTAATCTTATTAATATCAATATTCCGATTTTTGGTTAACTCCCACAGGGCAGTGGTCAGCAAACTGCGGCTCGCGAGCCACATGTGGCTCTTTGGCCCCTTGAGTGTGGCTCTTCCACAAAATACCATGTGCGGGCATGCACGTATAGTGCGATTGAAACTTTGTGGCCCATGCACAGAAGTCGGTTTTCAGAAAGGAGATAGACGAAACAAGTATACAAGACGAGTGTGGATGGGAGAGTTGGAAGGGCTCGACCTCAGTGAACGTACCTCAGTCAGATTGAGGGTGTTTTTAGCAAAGGCCAGCTTAGGAGTACCCTAATTAAGTTAATAACAATGTACCTACCTATATAGTTTAAGTTTAAAAATTTGACTCTCAAAAAAAATTTTAATTGTGGTACTGTTGATATTTGGCTCTGTTGACTAATGAGTTTGCCGACCACTGGGTTAGCATAATGGACACCACAGAGGTCAGACTTATCTCTTTTTCCTTATATGCTATCTTTAAAACCTATCTCCCACTCTAAAGTAAGCTATTCTTTTTGTTTGTTTGTTTTAATATATCTCTATTGATTTCAAAGAAGAAGGGAGAGGGAGAGAGAGAAACATCAATGATGAGAGAGTGTCATTGATTAGCTGCCTTCTGCATGCTCCACACTAGGGATCGAGCCCACAACATGGGCATATCCCCTGACCAGGAATCGAACTGTGACCTCCTGGTTCATAGGTCAATGCTCGAGCCACACTGGCTAGGCAAGCTATTCTTTACTGCCTTCTATTTCTAAGACGTTTAACCCTCACCTACCACTCCTTTGTTACTCTTGAGTACTTTTGTTATGGGCATGGCAATAAGACTTTTTGAATCTCCACAGTAACATTATTAATTGAATACTATAATTATAGTTGAGGAAACTAGCACTCAGATAGGTTAAGGCCCAAGGTTCCATAATTGAAGTAGAATTTAAAACCACTGTACCTTAACTCCTAAGCCATGTTTCATATTTCTGAAATGGTCAGATGCAGTTATGCCCATTGAGATTTGGGAGTATAGTTCCATGTACGTTTATTAATAACTAGAGGCCCGGTGCATGAAATTCGTGCACGGGGGCGAGGGGGTGTGTGTGTCCCTCAGCCAAGCCTGCACCCTCTCCAATCTGGGACATCCCTCTCACAATCCAGGACTGCTGGCTCCCAACCGCTCGCGTGCCAGCCTCCCTGATTGCCCCTAACCGCTTCTGCCTGCCAGCCTGATCACCCCCTAACCACTCCCCTGCCAGCCTGATTGCTGCCTAACTGCTCCCCTGCTGGCCCGATTGCCCCTAACTGCCCTCTCCTGCAGGCCTGGTTGCCCCTCTCCTCCCCTGCAGGCCTGATCTCCCCCAACTGCCCTCCCCTGCTGGCCCGGTCACCCCTAACTTCCCTCCCTTGCCAGCCTGGTCACCCCTAACTGCCCTCCCCTGCTGGCCTGGTTGCCCCTAACTGTCCTCTCCTGCTGGCCTGGTTGCCCCCAACTGTCCTCCCCTGCAGGCCTGCCCCCCCCAAATGCCCTCCCCTGCAGGCCTGGTCCCCCCCAAATGCCCTCCCCTGCAGGCCTGGTCCCCCCCAAATGCCCTCCCCTGCAGGCCTGGTCCCCCCCAACTGCCCTCCCCTGCTGGCCTGGTTGCCCCCTACTGTCCTCCCCTGCAGGCCTGGTCCCCCCCCCCCCCAACTGTCCTCTCCTGCAGGCCTGGTTGCCCCTATCCTCCCCTGCAGGCCTGGTCTCCCCCAACTGCCCTCCCCTGCTGGCCCGGTCACCCCTAACTTCCCTCCCTTGCCAGCCTGGTCACCCTAACTGCCCTCCCCTGCCGGTCCAGTTGCCCCTAACTGCCCTCCCCTGCAAGCCTGCCCCCCCCAGATGCCCTCCCCTGCAGGCCTGGCACCCCCCAACTGCCCTCTCCTGCAGGCCTGGTCCCCCCCAACTGCCCTCCCCTGCAGGCCTGGTCCCCAGCAACTGTCCTCTCCTGCAGGCCTGGTCGCCTCCAACTGCCCTCCCCTGCAGGCCTGGTCCCCCCCAACTGCCCTCTCCTGCAGGCCTGCCCCCCCCCCCCCCCAATGCCCTCCCCTATAGGCCTGTTTCCCTCAACTGCCCTCCCCTGCAGGCCTGGTCATCCCCAGCTGCCCTCCCCTGTCAGTCTAGTCACCCCCAACTGCCCTCCCCTGCCAGCCTGGTCCCCCCCCCCCCCAACTGCCCTCCTCTGCAGGCCTGGTCCCTCCCAACTGCCCTCCCCTGCTGGCCTGATCGCCCACAGCTGCCCTCCTCTGCTGGCCATCTTTGACCACATGGGGGTGGCCATCTTGTGTGTTGGAGTGATGGTCAATTTTGCATGTTATCTCTTTATTATATAGGATAAAGATGAACTTCACAAAAAACAAACACTGTACACATATACTCTAATTGGACCACATATTAGCTGACTTTTTCAGGTAGATTATGACTAGAAAGGTCACGTAAAAATTCACAAATACATTAAAGCTAGAATCTAGATCACCCGTGGGCAAACTACGGCCCGCGGGCTGGATCCGGCCCGTTTGAAATGAATAAAACTAAAAAAAAAAAAAAAAAAGACCGTACCCTTTTATGTAATGATGTTTACTTTGAATTTATATTAGTTCACACAAACACTCCATCCATGCTTCTGTTCCGGCCCTCTGGTCCAGTTTAAGAACCCATTGTGGCCCTCGAGTCAAAAAGTTTGCCCACCTCTTATCTAGATACTAGACCACTATTTATTTTGAGCCAATTAGATCTAGGAAATAGTCCAAAAATGTATGTTTGTTTGCATTTCTTCAGAGCTTGGGTTAATAACATGAACTAATAGTAAGTTATACTCATGATTGAAATTCTGATTTTCAAATCTTTTAAACTTTCTTTTTCTACTTATTGAATCCTCAATACTTAAAATATAGATATGTCTTGCAAAAGGTACTTTAGATTTCTACCAGAGAGGTGAGTTAATATGCTATTACACAAATAGCTTGTGGCAGAGTAACAATTAGTAATCTTAAACTTACTAATTCATATTTGATGGTCTTTCTGCACCATTCTTACTCACTTCTGAGTGAAAGTAAACTATCTTTCAACATATACTTTTTCTGAGAGAAATTTTATAGATTGCTATTACCTCTGGCTCAGGCTCAGTTTTCCAACCCTTTCAATTTCTTTTAGAACTCTTTTAACTTTTATGCCTAGAGTATTAGACTAAGAAGTCTAGCTTCTGATTCTACTTCTGTCACTAATTGATAGAAAAATAAAAGTAAAATTTTTTTTCTAAAAATGTTTGGGAAAATTTAAAAATAATATTTGAAGCTTGTTGAATTTTTTGATAAGTGGTCTTTTCTAATAGTAAATCTGTTAATATATTTTTTACTCCTATATTAGAGGAATTTTAAGTGTTAATGTGGCATCTTGATACTTACTAACCTAGGCAGCTACACATGGGTATATAAATTATTCTGGCTGGCCTCAGAATTATGGAATCCTGGATATATCAGGATTGGAACCTAAAGTCATCTCTTTTTAGAACCAGTGGAATCAGAATCAAGCTATTACCAAGATACCAGAAGGCCTACCTAATACATATATTGGAACCTGGTTGATCAGATGCTAATAAAGCAGTATCTATTTTTCCATATCCTTTTGAGTTATGTGTACTTTGTCATTTCTCCTCACTTTGAGTTTGATAGGAATGATATGAATCATCGTCAATGTATTTTTATTTTATACTAGAGGCCCGGTGCATGAAATTCGTGCACTGGTTGGAGGGGGTGTCCCTCAGCCTGGCCTGCGCCCTCTTGCAGTCTGGGAGCCCTTGGAGGCAGGAAAGGCTCCAGCCACCGCCGCTGCGTTCACCAGCTGTAAACCCAGCTTCTGGGTGAGCGACGCTCCCCCTGTGAGAGTGCACTGACCACCAGGGTGCAGCTCCTGTGTTGAGCGCCTGCCCCCTGGTGGTCAGTGCGCATCATAGCAATTGGTCGTTCTGCTGTTTGGTCAATTTACATATTAGCCGTCTATTATATAGGATTTTTGAACAGTTGAACTGGTATTTTAAAAATATGATTTTTAAAAGTGTATGTGGAATTTTTATTTTTAAAATTGATTTGAGAGAGAGAGAGAGAGAGAGATCGCTTTGTTGTTCCACTTAAACTTTCTGTATGTGCCCTGACTAGGGATCGATCCTGCAACCTTGGCATATCAGGATGATGCTCTAACCAACTGAGCTAGCTTTCCAGGGCTTGAAAATAGGGGGACCCTTTCCCCCTCCCCACGTGGGAGTCCATTCTGTGGGACTCTTTTCCCCTCCCCACGTGGGAGTCTGTACTTGTTCTTTAATAAATCTCCACCTTTGCTATACCATCTTCTGTTGTGGATTCATTCTTCGACTCTGGTGGACAAAGAATCTCCAGTTAAAAAATTCTGTATCAGAAAGAACACAGGCCAGTAAGCCAGGACAAGTGGAATAGGGAAACTGTGATGGTTAAGTAGCAGTTTGGAGCCATCTAGTAAATACTATCTCCCCTAAACCAAGGACTCTTACAAGTAAATGATTTGCCCTAACCGGTTTGGCTCAGTGGAAAGAGCGTCGGCTTGTGGACTGAAGGGTCCCAGGTTCGATTTCAATCAAGGCCAACAACCAGGGTTGTGGGCTCAATCCCCAGTGTGGAGCGTGCAGGAGGCAAAGGCAACCAATCAATGATTCTCTTTTCGCATTGATGTTTCTAACTCTCTCTTCCCCTTCCTTTCCTCTCTGAAATCAATAAAAATATATTTATTAAAAAAAAGAAAATAGGATATTCTTTCAAATAATTTTATCGTAACTTTTATCATTTTTTCTCCTAGCTTTATTAGAACAATATAAAATAAAATATTGCCCTACATAGATGCATTTATACTTTTTCCTTTTTTACCTTTTCACCTGCATTTTTATTGATCTGATATTCTATGCTTACCTGCTTCTTAAATCATTTAATTTTAATTCTCATAAAATTAATGTAGATATATGTAAAATGTATAGAATCAGTCAGAAGACTACATTTTTATAATTAAGTGCCATTACAAACTATGGGATTATTCTTGGACACAGAATCATAATTTTTTTATAACCAGGAGGGACTGCAAGTATCTTGTCCAACCTCATTTTACAGATAGTTTAAAGCAGGCAAGTTTGGAATTTTAAAATAATTATTTTGTATCTTTTTGAAATAGGACGTGAGCTGCAATGAAATTCAAACAATACCTTCTCAAATTGGTAATTTGGAGGCCTTGAGAGACCTCAACCTCAGAAGAAATCACTTAGTGCGTTTGCCAGAAGGTAAGAAACTGAAAAATTGTTTTATTATTATTTATCTTTTTACTTTAAAGATCGCTGAGATTGATTGGCATAACAAAAATGTATGGAGTTACATCCAATGTTTGAGAAGTAATGGTTTACTTAATATGTTATCTCTTCCATTGTGAATTTTAAAAGGTAGACTCTTCAGTGATAAGTTCCAATAACTGTTCACCAGTGATTGTATTTTTAAATCCTGTCAACTGATGTAATTGATGACTCAGGGTTGGGTCACTGGAAGTTTCAGTAAGCATAACTACTTGGGAGCACATATAACATTTTTGATAGGGGATAGTTTAGTAAAATGAAAAACATTCCTGTAATTAGCTCTGACTTAAAAATGGACTTTACTTGAACTTAATAACTTTATTCTTCATTGGAAATGTTCAAATAGAGGCTAATTAACCACTTGGAGATGATGTATAGAAGAGTGAATAATGAATAGAGTGGGAGACTACAGTAGGAGACTGACTATAAGCTCTGGTGTATGTATTTTTTAATATATTTTATTGATTTTTTACTGAGAGGAAGGGAGAGGGATAGAGAGTTAGAAACATCGATGAGAAAGAAACATCGATCAGCCGCCTCCTGCACACTCCCCACCGGGGATGTGCCCGCAACCAAGGTACATGCCCTTGACTGGAATCGAACCCAGGACCCTTGAGTCCGCAGGCTGATGCTCTATCCACTGAGCCAAACCAGTCAGGGCTCTGGTGTATGTATTTGAATGATAAAAATGATTAAACAAATTAGTGTAATTAGCATTCTTTTTTTTAAATATATCTTATTGATTTTTTACAGAGAGGAAAGGAGAGGAATAGAGTCAGAAACATCGATGAGAGAGAAACATCGATCAGCTGCCTCCTGCACGCCCCCTACTGGGGATGTGCCCGCAACCAAGGTACATGCCCTTGACCAGAATCGAACCTGGGACCCTTCAGTCCGCAGGCTGATGCTCTGTCCACTGAGCCAAACTGGTCAGGGCAGCAATCTTTTAAAAATACAAATTCATGAAATAAGAAGCTATAAAAGAAAGTGAAAATAAGAAGAATCATTAATTTATTAGATCAGATATTTCTTTAATTTTATTATGGAAAATTTCCCATATATAAGTGAGAGAGCACAATGAATCACCCAGCTACAGTAGTCATCAGCTCATCTGTATGCCCACCCACTTTCCCTTACTTTACCCTCTAGATTAATTTGAAACGACTTACAGAAATTCATCTGTAAACATTTCAGAATGCTTATCAAAAAGATAAGGAATATTCAGAAGGTATTTGTATGACAATTATTCTCTAGATTCTTTGACAAAAATGACTTCTAATGTATAGTAAGTATTGAATTAACTAATGATGCTTTTGCTTTACTGTATAGTCCAAATGTTTACACCATTTGATCCAGTATATTTACTGGATATTAAATTTTATACAGCAGTATGAAATTTAGTTCTAACATACTAGTGTGGCTTTGTCATTTTGGATCCCAAGTAAACATCTCCAAAAGTGACTTGCCAGTCCAATTTAATACACTTACTGCAACCACACTACCCCAAAATCCTGCTTATCTTTCCTCTCACTAGACTTGTATCTTCAGGGCCTTCATTTTTTCCTAGTTCTGCTTTCTATCACCTCTGGAATGTGAATGAAGGCCTCAGCAGAACTGACCAAAGTCATGACCCGGGGCCTTGTAACCCCAAATTTTTATTTAGGATTACCCCTCAACTCAGGACCCATCTACTATGGTTGATCTTTAAAGGCTTACTAAATAAGTCTGTAATAATACTGCCTTAATGTGAAATCAATTAATGGAAACAGTGGATTTTAGTGAAAATGAAAATTTGAGGTTTCAGATGACAACTACAGTTTAATAGTTTTATCATCTAATATGTTCCTAAGTCATATTTTGAATGCATATTACCAAGAAAATTGTGAATTTAACAAATAGTTTCAAAAAAATTTTTTTAAATCAGTTTATATTGTAACCTCACCATATTCAGTTAAACTGAGATAGCCAGAAAACTTGATTTCAAGTTAGTGTGGAAGTTCATGTTAATTAGGTGGTCTCTAACATAATTCAGTAGATAAAATATTGTATCCTTTGTTATATTGCCATTTTGATTTTAACTAATTATAATTTTTAGCAAATAATATCCAAGAAGTCATCTACACTAATAAAAGAGAATGATGCAAATTGACTGTACCTTTGTGATGCCCACCAGCCAATCAGGAGTGAGTATGCAAATTAACCCAACAAAGATGGCAGGTTAATTTGCATACACAGGCGCCAAGTGGCCGGGGGCAAGGTGGCTGCTTGCGCGCTCGCTGGCACCAAGCAGCCTGGGTTCTGGGGACAGACGTCCTTGGGACTCAGGCCGCTCTGAGCCTGTAGGCCCATGTGTAGGCCCAGAACAGCCGCAGTCCTGGAAGGACCCCTGGCCACACCAGGCCTACGCGTGCAGGCACGAAGCAGCCGGGGGCGGGGCAGGAACGCCCTCCGCATCGCCATGGCAGGCATGTGGGCAGAGCGCACATGCTGAGCGGCCAAGGGGCGGGGCGGAACACCCACCGTGCGACACGGAGGGCGTTCCCACCCGCCAGCCACTCCGGGCCTATGCATGCAGGCGCCGAGTGGCTGTGAGGGTTCCCACCCCCCTGGCTGCTCCAAGCCTACCCGCGCAGGCGCCGAGCAGCCTGGGTTCTGGGGACGCCACTGGAGTGTCCGGTCCTGTCAGCCCGGCCAGGGGGTGGCTGAAGTTCCCAGTCCTTTGTGTTTCTGCAGCCCCAGGACTGGAAATGAAAACCAAGAGTGTGGGGAGCACCAGGAATTCTGGGAATCATAGTTGTGGTGGCAGCCCCTGGCCGGTGGTGGCAGCCCCTGGCCGGAAGTGGAAGCCCAGAGCATGGGAAGCACCAGGAATGCTGGGAATCGTAGTTCTGGTGGCAGACGCATTGTGGGATTTCCTAGACACTCGCAGTGGTTCTCAACCTTCCTAATGCTGTGACCCTTTAATACAGTTCCTCATGTTGTGGTGACCCCCAACCATAAAATTATTTTCGTTGCTACTTCATAACTGTACTTTTGCTACTGTTATGAATCGTAAAGTAAATATCTGATACTAGAGGACTGGTGCACAAAAATTTGTGCACTCGGCGGGGGGGTTATCCCTCAGCCCAGCCTGCACCCATTTGTAGTCCAGGGCCCCTTGGGGGCTGTCCACCTGTTGACTTAGGCCCATTCCCCAGGGGATCAGGCCTAAGCTTGCAGTCAGACATCCTTCTGGCAGCCAGGGAGCCCTCGGGGGATTTCCGACTAAAGGCTTAGGCCCCCAAGGGATCGGGCCTAAACCGTTAGTTGGACGTTCTTAGTGCTGCCACAGAGGTGGGAGAGGCTCCTGCCACCACCTCTGTGCTGGCCAGCCATGAGCCAGCTTTTGGCTGAGTGGCACTCCCTATGTGGAAATGCACTGACCACCAGGGGGCAGCTCCTACATTGAGCGTCTGCCCCCTGGTGGCCAGTCGCATCATAGCAACGGGCCATTCTGCTTTTCAGTCAATTTGCATATTAGCCTTTCATTATTATTATATAGGATGTCTCTATTTCCCCCCTTTTTCCCCCTCTACCCAGCTCTTGCCCCCCACTTCTCTCTGGCCATCACCATACTGTTGTCTGTGCCCATGGGTTGTGCATATATTTTCTTTGGCTAATCCCTTCTTTAAATACACTTCTTTAAATTTTTATTTTCAGATAAGTGCTTATAACTGCACTATTATATATTTTCTATTATATCATTTAGAATTAAGATTTTTTTAATTGTACCCTTATAAATTTTAGCACAATTTAATAAATTATGCTAGAAGCAATTAGGAGATTTTTCATGTAATGCAGATACATTTCAATTAATATTTTATTAATTTTTAATTTTTTTAATATTTTAATTTGTAATAATCTCATACATGTAAAAAAAAACCTATAAAATACTACAGCATATTGTATGTACCCTTCACCCAGTTTCTTAGGTGTTAATAATTTAAACATAACCATTATACAACTAACAAAATTTGGAATATATTTTTCTTATAATCTCTTTACTGTTACTTAATCCATTTACTTTTTGTTAATCTTCACCCAAGGATATTTTTCCATTGAATTTTAGATAGAGTGAAGGGAAAGGGAGAGATACATTGATTGGTTGCCTCCTGGACATGCTCTGATAGGGACTGGGGATCAAGCCAGCAACTGAGGTACATTCCCTTGACTGGAATCTAACCTGGGACCCTTCAGTCCAAGGGCTAATGCTCTACCCACTGAGCAAAACAGGCTGCAGCTTAATTCATTTACTTTTAATCTATATGTGTCTTTATATTTATTTATTTATTATTTTTTAAAATATATTTTATTGATTTTTTTACAGAGAGGAAGGGATAGAGATAGAGAGTTAGAAACATCAATGAGAGAGAAACATCGATCAGCTGCCTCCTGCACACCCGCTATTGGGGATGTGCCGGCAACCAAGGTACATGTCCTTGACCGGAATCGAACTTGGGACCTTTCAGTCCGTGCTGGGGTCCAACCCCAGCAGGTCCAGGGGTCCCCAAAGGTGTGAACGGAGTCAGCAAAGAAGGAAGGACACGGAGACACCGTTCAGTTGATCAGCAGCCTAGCCAGGATCTCTAGCCAAGTTCTGGTCTATATGTGTCTTTATATTTAAAGTGGGTCTTGTTTTTGATTCACCCCCATAATCTGTCTTTTAATTGGTGCATTTATGCCACTGACTTTCAGAGTGCTTCCTGATAGAGTTACTGCCATATCTGGCGGCTCCTGGAGCTTCCTGGGGCTTGCAGGGCCGGCGTGCCTGTGGCCCGGGACCAGATTGGGTCCCGGGCGGCAGGCAAGCAGCTTCTGGCATCGCCCATGGGGGCCTGGATGGCGGCTGGCGCTGGCGGCTCGCACTGTCCCACCGTGCCTGCCGTATGCAAATTAGACACCATCTTTGTTGGTGGTTAATTTGCATATCTCACTGATTAGCCAGTGGGAGGCATAGCAAAGGTAAGGTCAGTTACCAAGTTTGGCTGTTATTAGATAGGATGCTATATGTGTTTTCCGATGGTCGCGACCCACAGGTGAGAACCGCTGCGAGCAAAGTGAGCCTGGAGCAAGTTATTGTTGTGGGTGGGGGATGGAGGGAAAGCAAAGGTGAGAAACATAAGTCAGAGTGTTGAGGAAAAATTAAAAGGAAGATATCCTGCAACTTCTAGGAAATCTCCACCAATGGAGCAAAGAAAAAAAAAGACCTCTATTACTCTGTGAGCACCAAACCAAACTGGGTTGGGGTCTCAGACAATTCGCTCATATGATTGCAAAGACAGACAGAAACTCCCAGATGGGAGAGGGCTCCCCTGAGGGCTCCCAGATTGGAGAGGGTGCAGGTCGGGCTGAGGGACCCACCCCCTGTGCACAAATCTTCGTGCACTGGGACCCTAGTATACAAATAATATCGAAAAGCTTAAAATAAATAATAGCATTTACCCTGCCTCAATTATCCCCTTCCCCAATTTAAAGGGCCAGAAGTACCTACCTTCAATTCCTTTGACACTTTTTACTGGTATTTGTTGACATATTTCTAATTATGTGCTTTTACAGTTATTGCTGGATTTATCAACTTTGACACATTAGTTTTCTGTAATGGTAGATGAGGATTTAACTTTCTTACATTATTACCATTATATCTTTACTTCCCTCTTTGTATTTTCACAGTGTGATTTTTATCATAACTTTTGATTAAATTGTTATTCATTGTGTACATTATTATAATGATATAAATATTGTTCCCTGCCAATTAAAATAATGTACTCTGATTTCATTTTCTTCCTTGTATATCTTATTTTTATTGTGGTTTTTTTTTCTAGAGTTAGTAATTTCTCTGTTTCTTTTCATTTGTTTTCTTATTTAGGTAACTATGGTTAATTCCTCCCTCTTTTTCCAGCATCCTTATTAGTCAAACCAATGAGATTACCTATCATATTTTTATTCCCTGCTTATCTCCCTATTGAGCCTTTACTCCTTCTCTTCCAATGTGGACTGGTTGTTCTCTTATTGCTGCCCAGCTTTCTTCGTTCTGTATTGAATACTCTTATTCCTGGATTCCATGTCTTTCTCTTTATTACTTTTTTAAAAATTTCAGCTTTATTAAGGTATGATTGACAAATAATTCCTCTTTCTTACCTTACTCCCTCATTTTGCTGGAGGGCATCTTCTGGTAGTTTCATGAGAATGTGTTATAGGAAAACTTATTTTTTTTCTTTAATCCTCATTGAGGAATGAGACTATTTTTTTTTTTTTTTTGAATTTTTGTGAGTTTATTTGAGCCAAACTGTCGACATATGCCGGGAAGCAGAACCTCAACGAATTGAGATAGTGCTCCTGAGGAATGAGACTATTTTTTTCCATTGATTTTAGAGAAAGTGCAAGGCATGGAGGAGGGGCAGAGAGAGAGAAAGAAAGAGAAACATCAGTGTGAGAGAGATACATTGACTGGTTGCCTTCCACGTGCCCAGGGATTGAACCTGCAATTAGGTGCACAGGCCAACACTCTAATCATTGAGCAGCGCTGGCCAGGGCAGGAAAACATTTTTTAAATTGATTTCTTATTTATTTTATTTTTATATTACTTATTTATTTTAGGAAAACATTTTTTGATACTTCACTTGGAAAGATACATCTTTATCCTATACTTACCCTTCATTAATAATTTGGTTATAGATTCTAGATTGAAAATTATTTCCTCTCAGGATTTTCAGGTCTTTTTCACTTTTAGCTTTCAGTGCTAAAAATTAATGGTTGAAAATTTGATGCTGTTCCTAATTCCAGTCCATTATTTGTGACACATTGTTTTTCTCTTGGGGAGATTTTAAGATCTTCCCTTTTTTCATATGCTCTGAAAGTTATATGATGATGTGCCAGAGTATGAGTTTTTTTACTTTGTGGGCCTCTTTCCAAACCAGAGATTCACATCTTTAGTTCTGGAAAATTGTTTTACACCTTTTTTTAAAAATCTTTTTTTTTTATTATTATATAGTAAAATTGACTTCTTAGGGGGGTATAGTACAGTTGCATGAATTTTAACTTATTTTTTATGCAACCACCACCATAGTCAAGATACCTAAATATCCCATCACTTCAAAAAAAGCTCCTTTTTTTAATTACACTCACCCCTCACCTATTTTGTTCTCCATAGTTTGTCTTTTCTAAAATGTCAGATAAATGGAATCATATATGCATTTTCATGTTGATTTCTTTCACCCAATTTGAAACCTTCCCATGTTTGTTTTTTCACTTTTCAGAAAATTTCCTTTGTCCTATATACCTTAATTGAACAGTAATATCTTTTAGATGATCTTATAGTCACAATAAGCTTCCTAGTTTTAAGGAAGTTAATAAAATATCTTGAAGGGTTTTTACCAGGAGTGAAAAGTGAGATACCTTGTAGCTCCTGGTAGTCAGGTCACGGGCTTTTTTTAATGGATCTTGGTTCTGTTCCTACAGTATGGAAACCTGTGCATCTCTGACTTGTTCTTTATACAGACTATCATCTGATCCCTTTGTTATCCCCATCTTTCTCTGGTATCAGGCCTTCAACTTTCTGTAGTTCTGTGAGGAGTCAAACAGCTTGCTTTCATTAGTATTCCTGTCTGTAGCGTCTAGATTTCATTTTATACCACGTTGCTATATTACTTAATCACTAAGAAAGAATGGAAGTAAATACTTATATTAAATCCACTATATTTCACTAGAAGCTCCTGTCAAAATTGTCTTGTTTTGAAATATCATTAATTGTTCGTTTCCATTTTATCTCTTTGCAGAGCTGGCAGAATTGCCTTTGATACGGTTAGACTTCTCCTGCAATAAAATTACAACAATCCCTGTTTGTTATCGGAACCTCAAGCACCTACAGATGATTGCCCTAGATAACAATCCATTACAGTCTCCTCCTGCACAGGTAAATCATCGTTTATTTGAAGTATGTTATGAACTTTTTCGACAAAGAATGAAACTTTATGCATTTGTCTTTCTCTTGGAAATTAAGTTCTTTTAAAATAAATGCACACACTTATGTATTCGTTAGAAGCCTTTACTAAATAGTGTGGAAGATAGGTACCATGTCCAGAAGTGTTTTTTCCTTTCATTAAATTGACTTTTTAAAAAACTTGCGGGATTCTTCTGTAAAGTTTTTTCTAATGAAATTTGAGTTAATTTTTTTCTGGTAAAAGTTGAATCTAGAGACAAATAAAAATGCTTAGCTTTCAGAACTAATGACTATCAGCACATCTCTTCTTACCAGTGTTTTTGTACCTTCCTGTTTTCTAAAATCTGAAGTTCCTTTATTTATTTAGTTTGGTCATTTGCTTAGCAATGACTGAAATGAAATTATTTTAAAGAAAGTAATTATGGGTAGTGTTACATATACTAAACATTCTACAATCTAAAAAATATTTACCAACCTGTAGCTTTTTTACTCTACAGTCAACTGATGGTACAAGCCTCTGTATAGCAGCTATAAAACTTCCCTATGAGTAAACATCTTAACTATAGAAGGGTCTCATAATCCTAAAGAATTTGTGTTTTGACTTCTGGGACAGAAGCCAACAGGTAGCAACAGACATATATATAGCTTTAATATTTAAACATTTCCTGCTTTTCTTTCTGACAGAATGTACAGTGGAGAACATAATAGTACATGACTGTTGGATTCCTAAAAGCAAAAGTTGCTAATATAATTCATGTGGGAGCAATGCTTTAAATTCCTGACTATGCCTAACTAATAATAAATTTACTTGATATTCTGTTTGTAATCATAAATTATTTTATATATTACTGAGACTTATTAGTATCTAGAAAATAGAACCTATATTTATATCATTTAAATACCTAAAATAACAAATAATATAATTTGTTAAAATTAGTGTTAGATTTTTAGTATTTGTACTTAATAGAAATGCCTTCTGTTTCCAATATACATTAAGTAAAAAGCTGATTGTGATTATAAAAGGGACACATTTCAGATGAGTAACAATTTGATTGCATGTATGTGTTACTTTATTTAGATATGCATAAAAGGCAAAATTCACATATTTAAGTACCTGAACATACAAGCTTGTAAGATTGCTCCAGATCTGCCAGATTATGATAGGAGACCCTTGGGTTTTGGCTCCTGGTGAGTATGTCCTTTTTTTTTTTTTTTTTTTAATTACCATATTCTATCTCACAAGAAATAAAATATACTAGACCCTTAAATCTGCCTGAATGTTTGACTATAAGGAAATTACCTATTTTGACACTGTTTTTCTCAGAATACTTAATATTAAGTAAAATGTTGATTAATTAGATAATGGCAAAGCGTAGCTCTAATCAGGGTTTCTCAACCTCAACATTGTTATTTTGGACCAGTTAATTCTTTGTTGTGAGGAGCTGTCCTATACATTGGAAGATATTTAGCAGCATCTCTGGCTTCTATTGTACTCTCCCAGTATGACAAACAAAAATATCTCCAGACATTTCCAAATATCCCCTCAGGGGTGTGGGGGGGGTCTGCAATTGAAAACCACTGGTCCAAGTGATTTGAATATTAACCTAGCTCTTCTCTTCACTAGCTCTGTGATTTAGGCAAATCTCTCAGACTTTTCTGTGCTTCATTTTTCCTATAGGGAGTGAAGAGATTGGATTTGATGACTATTGATGTCACTTTGGGATCTAAAAAATCAATTAAAGAAAAGATGTTCAAAAAATAAAAGTAGCTTTTATTTTATATATACCAATTGATTTTTCTCCCCTGGAGTTAGTAATTCTTGCTAAGTGAAAGTTTTTCCCCCTGTGAAATAACAGAATAGGAACATTAAACTGCTACTCTACCTTTGAGATTTGAGTGTAAGACAATTAATAGTGCGTCCTGGTAGCTACATGTGAGGGTAGCCTGAAGACACTAAGGAGGAATTATAGTCACCTATAGAATAATGAGCTTTAGCTAGGGGCTGCAGTGCTAATTGTAGACCCTGTGATTCTGTCCTTTGTCTTAGCCCAATTTGTTTTTACTATAGCAATCATCATCAGATTACTTTAAAATATACATAAAAAACAATAATAAACTAACAAGAGACTTGTGTGTTTCTAAGATATAAAAGAAAGCTTAGATCAATGGAGAAACCTTTCCTAAATGCAAAGTCTAAATAGCAAAAATATGCCATGTCTCTCCAAAGGAGTTATGATACTTTATTTGTAATGGTTTCACAATGTGCTAGAAATTTTAAAATATACATATATGTATATTGGGGCCCGGTGCACAAAATTTGTGCACCAGTGGGGTCTCTAGGCCTGGCCGGCGATTAGGGCTGATCAGGGCCAGGCTGATCGGGGCTTGCTGGCCACTGGGAGGAACAGGGTGTGGAAGGTTGGCCACCAGCCCAAGAAAGGAGCTGGCCCTTGGCCCCCATGGGAAAGGGGCTGCATCCTCCGCCACCCACCCCCAGTTCCCCATCCCAGTCTAGGGCCCGGAGAGGAGGCTATGGTCGCCAGACCAGGCGCTGACGCCGGAACCCCGCTACCACGTGGTTCCCCGCCTCCCCACCTCCTCCTTCCTTCGACGCCTTGCCGCCACCATGGGGGAGGGACAAGACATGGGAGGTTGGCTGCCGGCCCCCCTGGTAAAGGGTCGGTGACCACTGCCACCCACCCCCAGTTCCCTGTCCAGCCCCGGGGCCCGGCCCCAATTGGGTGATCAGGGCCTGCTGGCTAGGGGGAGGAACCACAGGAGGTTGGCCACCCGGGAGGGAAGGACTGCAGGAGGTTGGCTGACCAGGGGAAGTTGGCTGTGGGGGTGCACTGACCACCAGGGGGCAGCTCCTGCATTGAGCGTCTGCCCCCTGGTGGTCAGTGTGCGTCATAGCTACCAGTCGTTCCTGTCGTTCTGGTTGTTCCGTTGCTTAGGCTTTTGTATATATAGATAGATAATTTATATATTTACATATACATAAAATATTTCCTTGAACTCCTCATGCATCAGTGAATTAGATATTATACCTTCATATCTTTCCCACTGGGGTACAGATTAGTGAAATTGCATTGTAATTTATTCAAAATGCCGTCATAGAGTCAGAATGTTTTTGTTCTAGCTGTGAATCCCTGTACTATTGGGCAGTTCACTTAACCCCTTTGAACCCCTGTTTCTTTAATATGATCTTTACCCTCTTTATACTCTAACAGTAGTCCTGAGGATCAAATGACCTGTGTGTGAAAGTGTTATACTGACCATAAAGCCTTATACAAATATTAGGCATTGTAGTTACTAGCTATCTACTGTGATCTAGAAAGAGTTTAGTTCTAAAAGAATCCTGTCTTGCTAAAGAGAATTGTTATTAATCCTGTAGATCTTCAGGTATTTGATACAAATTAGATGCTGTGATACTATTAGTCCTTAGATGCAACTTTCTAACTACTTTTATGTAACATAAAAGCAACGCACAATTTTCTTTAAATCATTTTATGAAGGCCACAAATGTTTTACTCATTTCCAGAGGGAAGTGCTTCCAACTCCTTTAGCAATGGCACTATTGTGAAAACGCTTTCATTTTATACAGTGGCACACATACTTTTCAGTAGTGACCTAAAGTGACCTATGCTTTTTTGCTGAGGTGATTTTAAGCTGATATGTTTCTTTATGATGATGGCAGTGAAACAAACCTAAAGAAAGATTAAACTGCTGGTAAGAAAAGCCCTGCATCCATAACCCCAGCAGTGGAATTCTCTACCACAAGCCTGAGCTTGTGAAAGCAATGACCATCATATTTGTATTCTTAGCACTTAGAACACTGCCTAGCATTCAGGAAATATGTGATGAACTAAACTCAGATGAAGCAGATTTAGTGACTTGTTATAACAGGAAATGTTCTTTCCTAAGGGTGCATTCCTCACAGATTGGTAACTTTTATTGAATGCTTTGTGGCAGCCAGGCTTTGTGTAATGCTCTAACTTATACTGTCTTAGTCTTTATAGCAGCTCTCTGAGGTAGATGTTGTTGTTAACCTTTTTTTGTTTGAAACTTATGAGAAAACAGAAGTTGAGAAAAGTTAAAGTCATACAGCTGGTAAATTATGATGCCAAGCTGTTGGGCCAGATCTGTTAAACTATGTTTGAAACTTTTCACTGCATTATACTGATTTCATAGTTCATCTTCCTGCTACAGAGGTCACTTATGCGTTTGAATCTAGGTAGTTTATTAGGGAGACTGGACTTTCTGACAGGGCATAGCTGGAGCCTGGCAGAACTCTGTCTGGTCCCCTGAAGGCCAAAATTAAGTATAGGATAACTATCTGTCCTGCTTTGTGTGTGACTAAGGGGATTTCTGGGATATAAAACTTTTAGGGCTAAAACCAGGAAAATACTGACCAAGCCTGGAAAACTGATAAACTGGTATGTCTCACTTTAATTTTATCAGTTTAATCTCTGAGCCAGAGCGAACATGTATAGAAGCTAGGGGTAACTGAATAAAATAATAAAATAACAATGCAAATATTAATTTTCTTTACTTTTTGGTTTTTTAATATTTTTGTATTGATTTTAGAGAGGAAGAGAGAGGAAGAAAGAGCTAGAAACATCAATGACGAGAGAGAGTCACTGATCAGCTGCCTCCTGCACGCCCTCCACTGGGGATGGAGCCTGCGACCCAGGCATGTGCCCTGATCGGGAATCGAACCGTGACCTCCTGGTCCATGGGTGGATATTCAACCATTAGCCACACCAGCTGGACTTCTTTTTGTTTTTTTAATCATCACCAGAGGATATGGTTATTAATTTGAGAGAGAGAGAGAGAGAGAGAGAGAGAGAGAGAGAGAGAGAGAGAGAGAAACATCAATGTGAGAGAGAAACATAGATCAGTTGCCTCCCTTACATACCTTGACCGGGTACTGAACCTGCAACCTTTTGGTGTATGGGATGAGCCACCTGGCCAGGACTCTATTAATTTTATATTGACCACTGAAAAATGTCACAGTAAAATTAGGCTTATTTTGATTGGCCACTTGATAAAAAATACATTACAGTATATAAACGGTATCCTCTAGAGCTCTGAATATCATTGGTTGAAAAACTTACATAATATTAAAAAGTATTTTTCAGTAAATCTTCAAATATACATATTTCTTTTGGCAGCTGCAGAAAAGAATATTTTAAATGTATATATATCACTAGAGGCCTGGTGCACAAATTCGTGCACAGGTAGGGGCTGGCCAGGGGTAGGACCGTGGGCCGTTGGCTGGCCAGTCCTGCCCACTGGTCAAACTCCCAGTTGAACTCCCAGTCCAACTCCTGGTCAAGGGGACAATTTGCATATTATCCTTTTATTATATAGCATTAGAAAGCTTTTTAAATTAGGCACCTTGCCTTGACTTTGCTGTGATAAAACACACATAGCACCTGTTTTTAAGATCTGGACTCTAAAACAAGCGTAAGAAAAAAGGGGGGAAAAGCACAAGAACAGATGTGTCATGTAGATGATATACATAACACATGCTACTTAAATAGTTGGGATAGCTAGATGAAGGACAAATGATGTTCATTGTATTATCTTCCCAACTCAGATAGGTATGAGTTTTTTCAAAATAAAAATTTAGGAGAAATTAGCTGCTTTTCTTGTAGAAAAGTAATTTTAGAATTATACTGAAAGAATTTTTGGCTAAAGGAGCTTTGTGGAAGAAGGTAGAAAAATGAGGAAGGTACCTGTATTTTTTGGATCTTTATTTTATTTTATTTTTTAAATATATTTTAATGATTTTTTACAGAGAGGGAAGGGAGAGGAATAGAGAGTCAGAAACATCGATGAGCCTTATCTGGTTTGGCTCAATGGATGGAGCGTCGGCCTGGGGACTCAAGGGTCCCAGGTTCGATTCCGGTCAGGGGCATGTACCTTGGTTGCAGGCACATACCCAATAGGGAGTGTGCAGGAGGCAGCTGATCGATGTTTCTCTCATCGATGTTTTTAACTCTCTAGCCCTCTCCCTTCCTCTCTATAAGAAATCAATAAAAAAAAAAATGTATTAAGGAAAAAAAAAAAAAGAAACATCGATGAGAGAGAAAATTCGATTAGCTGCCTCCTGCACACCTCCTACTGGGGATGTGCCCGCAACCAAGGTACATGCCCCTGACTGGAATCGAACCTGGGACCCT